GAGCAGGGAGCCCGATGCGGGGCTCGATCCCAGGACCCTGAGATCATGACCTGAGCTGAAGGCAGTCGCTTAACCGACTGAGCCACCCAGGCGCCCAAGTTTTCCTGTTTTCTTAGAGGTGTTTTTGGTTGAGAATTGGTTGGTTCACGTGACCCCCTTTCCTCCACCGCTTTTAGAAAGAAATGTGCTGAAACTAAAGAGACACTAATCAAATCCTCAGAATTCCTCCTGCCTTGCAATTCACCCCTTTATTGTTATTTGCTTCTAAGACTGAGACTTTTTCTTCATCGCTTGCTAAGTGCAGAATTACAGAATATTCTGAACTGTACTTTTTTAAGCATATATTTGATAGCCATACCTCACAGAAAATGGTAAAATGCTCTTTGCTGTTTCTCTTGGGTGAAATGCTCCTAAACCGGCATTAAAGGAACTCAGCTTGGTAGGGGTGGAATAATGCAACATCACGTCACCAGTTTAAACAAAGCCTCTGGGAGGCATTGCTCATTGCTCGGTGACTTGGTCTGCAGAGCTGAACATTGCAGCTCCCGCATTGGATAGATTTGTATGTCTAGAGGTGGGCACTGAGACCCAGGCTTAAAAAGAGAAATCCTCTGAGGTGGCCTGTGGGAGGAATTCGTGAAGCATGAGGCCTCCTGCCAGGAGGGCCTGCACCTTCATCACCGTGGTGCTTAGTAAGTGCTTCCCTAAAGAGGTGTTACAGCCACAAAACGACCTGATCTTAGCAGCAGGGAGAGTCCCACGCTCCCACCCCAGGTCCCTCTTCTTGATCTCAGGGCACTGAGAAATACGTTTAGACCGAGAAACCTGGGAGATGGCTGCTCATCCAGAACCAGCCACGTGTTCTTGCTAAATATTTGAAGTGGCTTTTGAGAAAGCCTCTAGGCAGCTACCTCACTGGGGCTCTGGGCTCGCTTTGCCGACAGTATACCTCACAGACAAGAGCAGGGGCTTCCATCCCAGTCGCGCTGGCCTCTGTACTGACACCCTCTTCTGGGGAGCCTTGGCTTTCACGGGGCTTGATTCCTAGAACGTGTGTAGCCACTTCTACTAAACACAAGAGGGTGATAAAGTCCTGTGTGACCTTCTAGGCCAGGACATCGCCATTTACTTGTCACTACCCTTCTGTATTTATTCTGTGGGCGTCTACTTTGGGCTGCCTTAGACCAGCTGTGGCTCCCGGCTTTGTATGAACCCTAGGAAATGTAGTGTTTAGCCAAGGCCTATCTGTATGGTGTCAAGCAGGAAGTGTGGGCTACTGAATTGCTGGCCCTCCTGGCCAATCAAGAACATGCAGTGATTTCTGAAAATCTGTGGGGACTACTGGAGGATCATCCTGTATTCATCCACACTGAACGCTTTGGTAGCCCGTCTAAAGAAAGGTCTAGTCTCTAGCCACTAAATAACAGTTGAAAGTGATCAAGAAAATTTGACAAGGATAGGGGCAGCTGCTTGTAGACAGTTGTCCCTGGCCAGAATCAAAAGCCACGAGAGCAGGTGCATGGGGACCCTAGTCCTCTTGTGCTGGCAGAGTGCTCTTCAGGTGGTCTGCAGCACGCGCTCAAGGTGGAGAAGGGCGGAGGAGGCTACAAGTTGGATCCTTGGTTGCTTTGGTTACAGTGAACTTCGTTGCTGTTAAGATTCAACCCTGATTCTCGGGCACCTGGGTGGCTCAGATGGTTGAGCATCTGCCTTCGGCTCAGGTCATGATCCCAGGGTCCTGGGATCGAGTCCCGCGTCGGGCTCCCTGCTCCTTGGGAGCCTGCTTCTCCCTCTGCCCCTCTCTCTCTCTGTCTCACATGAATGAATAAATTAAAAAAAAAAAAAAAAGATTGAACCCTGATTCTCAGCACTCGTATCCTAGCGAGACGATGGGCTAGATGCCTGCGTGGCCTCAGGCTTTTGACAGAGCTTGTGCTCCGGAGCCACACTCCCTGTGTTTTTAAAGACTGGCTCCACCGCTGAGAACTTTGTGATATCAGGCAGCATCCATGTGCTTCAGTTCCTTTTCTGCAAGATGGGGATAACAGGGCACCCCACCTCATCACGTTATTGTGAGGAGTAGATGAGTTATTATGGAAAGTATTACTGGAAAGGCCTGTGAAACAGAGTTAAGACTTAATAAGTAAACGGTAACATACTTATAACTCTCCAAAAAGGCTTAATGGAAATTTATAATCTATATTTCATTTTGAGGATTTTATATGCCCCAGATTTTAAAAATATGTATTCTTTTAAATAAAAATTACTCACGGGCGCCTGGGTGGCTCATTCGTTAAGCGTCTGCCTTCAGCTCAGGTCATGATCCTGGAGTCCTGGGATCGAGTCCCGCATCGGGCTCCC